TCTGTGGTTTGATTCTTTTGCTGTGCAGCAGCTTTTTAATTTAATATGATTCAATATAATTTAGTAGGATCAAACAATATAGTTTGTTGATTCTTAGTACAATTTCCTGTACAATGGCATTCTGTACAGAAAGTGTGTGCCTATGCCTGTGACTTGACAAGTTTTACTTCTCTTCCAGCAGGTTAAGTGTTTCTGTATTCACATTTAGTTCTTCTATCCATCTGTATTTCAGTTCAATACATGGTGAGAGATATGGGTCTAGATTCAATCTTCTACATGTAGATAACCAGTTTCCCCAACACTAATTATTGAAGAGTCTATTTTTCTTCCAGTGTACATTTTTGGGTGCTTGGTCAAAGTTCAAATAGTTGAATATGGTTGGGATTATTTCTGCATTCTCTCTTCTGTGCCATTGACCCTTATGCGTCTTACATGCTGTGTTTATCACTATACTTTTATAATATAACTTCAAGTCCAGGATTGGGCTGCCTCCAGCTTTTCTGTTGTTACCCAGGATTTCTTTGGGCTACTCTGAGTCTCTTCTAGTTTCATATGTATTTTAGGATTATTTTCTCTAGTTCGGTGCAAAATGCTGTTAATATTTTGATTGGGATTGTGATAAATCTGTATATCAATTTTGGAAGTATGACTATTTTAACTCTATTGGTTCTGCCTATCCAGGAACAAGGGGTATCCTTACATTCTCTGATGTCCGCCTTGGTTGTCTTTTTCAGAGTGTGATAGTTTTGCTGTAGAAGTTTTTAACTTAGGTTAGGTTAGTGCCTAAGCACTGCATTTTTCTTGGTGCTACTGTGCATGGCATTTCTTCCCTAATTTTTTTCTCAGTGGGTTCGTTATCCATGTACAGAAACACTATTGATTTTTCCATGTTGAGCTGAACCATCCTGTGAGAGACTGCCACGCTGCTCCCTCCTGAGAAATGGAGCTCTTGCCTTGACCTGTCTCTGATCTCTCCTGCACCCTATTCACTGAGATATGCAGACCTGGCTATATTGAAACAAGTATTTCTTCATTGGCTAAAAGAATGTTATAGAGTCTGGCTGAAGCACCACTGGTCTTATTAATAGCAAAGTGGCAACACACAGGCAAGCACAGCCTCCATGTTGAGGGCTGGAACAGAGGTTCCAGAGCAGGAGCCTGTGAGATACCAGGGCTAAGACATGAGATTACAGCTCAGCTGAGGCCATGGGACTCAGAAAAAAATCATACCTTCCAAGCAGCAAGGGTGCCAGCCTTGCATACATCAAAACTATTTGTGCATTGCTAATTGGAGGCCTCTGTGCCTGGTATGACTACAAAGTTTCTTAAACCCAGCACTCTGCTGGGTTTAAATTTTTTTTAAATGACCAGGGTCTAATTATGTTTTGTGGAGATAACTGTACTGTAGCCATATCGTCCTACATCACTGAATTTGGTATTAATTTCTGAATTTTTTGGTGATTTTGGGGGGTCTTCTATGTATAGGATTGTGTCATTTGCAAATAATTTTATTTCTTTGTTTCCTATATGTATTCCTTTTATTTCTTTTTCTTGCCTAATTGCTCTTGCTAACATTTCAAGTACTATGCTGAACAGAAGTGGTGATAGTAGATATCCCCAACTTATTCCTCATCTTAGCCAGAAAGCTTTTAGTTTTTCCTCATTTAATACATTGGCAGTAAGTTTGTCATAAATGACTTCTATCAGAATGAGATAAAGTCCTTCTGGGTCTATTTTCTTCAGTGTTTTTTATCATGAAAGGATGCTGGATTTTGTCACATGTTTTTTCTGTGTCTTGAGATGATTTACATGATTTTTGACCTTACTTCTGTTTATGTGATGCTATATTTGTTGAATTGTATATGTTGAACCATGCTTGAATCACTGGGATGAAGCCTACTTGATCATGGTGTATGATCTTTTTGATGATTCATTTCATTATACTTGCTAGTAACTTGTTGAGGAGTTTTGCATCTATATTCATTAAAGAGATTGATCTATAGTTCTGTTTTGATTGAGTTCTTGTCTAGTTTGGGAATCACAGTAATGGTAGCTTCCAGGAATGATTTTGGGCTCCTTCTCTTTCCATTTCATTAAAGACCTTAAGGAATATTGATGTTAGATCATCCCTGAAGTTTTTGTAGAATTCAATAGTGAATATGTACGAACCTGGGCTTTTCTTTGTTGGTAGATTTTTAAATTACTTCAATTTCATTTATTGTGATTGCATTAGTCAGGGTCTTTAAATCTTGTTCTAATTTTGATAATTCATATATATCTAGGAATCTATCCATTCTTCTGACTTCTCCAATTTATTTGCATATAGGTTTGTGAAGAAGTTGTCTATAATTTTTTTTTTTTTATTTTGGAAGTCTCTGTTGTAATTTCTTTTTTCACTTCTAATTGCATTGATTTGGGTCTTTTTTCACCTTTGGTGGGGGTTAGGTTAGCTAAGGGCTTGCCTGTTTTGTTTATTCTTTTTAAGAACCAAGTCTGGTTCACTGTTTTGTCTCAAGTTCACTGATTTCTGCTCTGATCTTTATCATTTTCTTCCTTATATTAGCTTTGGGCTTGGGTGGTTCTTGTTTTTCTAGGACCTTGACCTGCATTGTTAGGTTATTTATTTGGGCTTGCTCTGTTTTTGTGATGTGGGCATTTACACTATAGGACTGCTTTCACTGTGTTCCGTAAGTTCTAGTGTGTTGTACTGGCATTTTCATTCAGCTCTAGAAACTGCTACATCTTCTTTGATTTCTTCTGTGACCCATTGTTGAGAGTGTTGTTTCCACGCATTTGCATAGTTTGTGTTTTCTTCTGTTGCTGATCTATAGTTTCACTGCACTGTGATCTGATAATATGCAGAGTATAATTTCAATTCTTCTACATTTACTTAAGCTTGCTTTATTGGCTAGTACATGACTTATTTCATGTGCTGCTCAGAAGAATGCATATTCTGTTGCTGTTGGATGTAACATTCTGTAAGTATTTATCCAGTCAATTTGTTTACAGGCTTTGTTCAACTCTGAAGATATTTGTCATTTTTTGTCTGGTTTATCTATTTGTAATGATAATGTGGTATTGAGGCTCCCCCACTATAACTGCGGTTATGTTTATCTGGGCCTTTATGTCCAATAGTACTTGTCTTATGAAGTCGGGGGTGCTGTTGTTTGATGCATGTATGTTCATAATTGTTATCTTTTCCTGTTAGATTGCTCCTTTAACATGTAGTGACCTTGTGCCCTCATGCAGATGTTCCCGGCTGAGGACCTTCAGGGGGTGGCAGCGTGAGCTTAAAACGACCTTCAGGCTGAGTAGGGCAGACCTGGGCAGCACCTGACCCCATGGGACTAAGGAGTCCAGGCGCAGAGGTGTTGAAGAGTTAGAGGCTGTGGGGAAACCCCACGCCTCAAGTTGTCTGTCTCAGTGAACTCCTTGAACAGAGGCTCTGAGAGCAACTCTGCTGGGGTCGCTGGGCTGGCACAAGGCTGCCGGCTCAGGGTAAGTGGCATCGGGAGCTTAGGCTGGGTATAGCTTCAGACAGGCCTGTCCCTGTATCTTAAATGCAGCCAACCTGCTCAGACCCACTGTTCACACCACACAGCCCTCCCACCTAGGACTGCTTCCCATACTCAGCTGCTTAGATACCCCCAGGCCCCACTCTCCCGAATGCAGCCCACCCAACCCAGGCCACCCCCGGCCCTCCACATGCAGCAGCCCCAGCAGGCGGGGTCTCTTCCCTGATTCTGCTGGTGTGACAGTTAACCAACCATGCCAACCCGGGAAAAAAAATGCCCCAGTAGTTGGATTAGTATAGCTCTGGGTATGAGTGGCAGGGGTAGGATTGCAGCCTGAATGGCATAAAAGGACAATGAAGAAGGTTCACTGACGTCCTTCGGAGGAGCTCCAGTCCACCTTCACCGTGGCCATCATCCCCTCACTTCGCGTGCAGACGCTTCAGTCTCTAGCACCGACCATTTAGCCTCCTGATATGGACTTGCAGACACTACAGTAAGCTCCAGGTCTTCAGCCTCTGCCTGGACCCTTCTGATCGCCAGCACGCAAACGACCCTTTTGCACCCTTCCACACCTGACTCTATGGCGGCCGCTGCAAGCCTATCTTATAAATCCTTATATATTTCCATATATTATATTAAATCTGTTCCTCTAGTGAGCACAAGTGAGTGAAGTACCCATCTCAGGGCCTCTGGAGTGGGGGCACATCTGTATAGAAAGTGAAGACCTCAAGCTGGGCTCAAGCAGCAGACCACAATGGCAAGGGACAGCCTGGAATCTCACCCCTGGTGCCTGCAGGGAGACACTGCCAATCCCCACCTCCAGACCCCACTGGGCGTGGGTGGGGGTCATCACATGCCACTCTCCCCAGCTCAGCTCCACACTTGGGCAGGGGGGTAAGAGCGGTGAGCACGTTCCACCTGTGGGGTCACCAGCCCACCCACGGGACAGGATCCCACCAAGAAGTGAAAGCCAAGGCTGCCGTGGGAGGGTCCCAAGTGGGGGGCGGGCCCCGGGCACCAGAGAGGGGTGGGTGCTGCCAAAGCTCGCTGACAGCCTGGCACGTGGCAGTGTTGTTTTCTGATACAGGGTGGGCAGGGGGCTGTAGGGGCACGTGCTGGGGGCACCCGGGGATACAGCTGGGGTGAGCGTGTCCTGAGCCTTGGGGAGGAGGCAGCCTAGAGCCCTGGGGCCTCTCCAACACAGGCCTTTCATGAAGATGACACTGGGAAACGTGGGGGGCGTGGGGGACCGTGTTCAGAGCGTGGCAGAGGAAGACCCAGGGGGCCGGCGGGAGCCTGATGCTCCCTGCACCAGCCCCCGACCCCAGCAGTGCAGTCCTGGCTTTGCGTGATCTGAGTCCCGCCTCACCCCTGCACAATGCCCCTGCCCACCACACCCAGGTGGCAGGTGTCACCATGAGCACAGTCAGAGCTGGTGCAGGGCTGGGGGGCCTTGTGTCTTCGAATCATACGCCAAGGCGTGGGCTGCATCAGAGCATCTTTATTTCATCTTCCCACACGTTCCAGACACATACTCCAGTCACCTTCTCAGACCTGGGACTACTGCCAGTGTCCCTCATACCCAGTCTGGCATTTGCACACATGAAATACACACAGGGCTTAATTTAAGCTCATGAGTCCTTTCCCACTGAAAAATAAACTACCACTAGAGGCAGGCCTGCTGTGTCTGCAACCTCTGGCCGCGTGGACACGTGTAAGTCCAGGCAGAGCAGTTTCCAGAGCTGAGCCTGGGAAGGAGATGGGGCTTTCACACACAGAGCCGTGGGGCAGCTCCTTATCCCCTCCGGAAGGAACCCTGAACTTGGCTGGATGTGAGCTCTACCTGGCCTCAGGCACACGGCCCTCTGCTGTCTTGGGGCACAGGACACTGGCACAGAGCGCTGTGCCAGTTTCCCACCACATGTAATGACCAGAGAACACTTTAAAGGAAGCAAGCACACACACATTGCACACATCGGGGCCCCGGCCTCTGGGCAGTCTCTTGGCACCCGGGCAAGGGCGGGGCTGCTCCTCAAGGAAGGGCAGCATCTCGGAGCAGTCACAGCAGGCCGCTGAGGACAGGAGGCTGCCCCACCCTGTCAGACACAGCTCACAGAGCCTGTGTCCACACCTCCCACACGGCCTAGCAGGACCTACATCACAAAGGCTCACACGGCCAGGACACTCAGAGGACGTGGGGGAGGCTGGACGGGACAATCACCTGGCACAGTGGGCAGTGGCAGGAAGTGCTCAACTAGGTTACCCTGTGTGTCCACGGCCCATCCCCAGCCCTGCTAAGAGCAGCACTGACCCCCGGTGGGGCATGTGACAGCGACCACTAAGGGCAGCAGCGGCCCAGGAGAGATGGAAGGTAAGGCACCTGTGAGTGGCCTCACTCTGCCTTCGGCCTCCTGTCCCCAGCCTCCCAGATCACCCGAGGTCGGCTTCCAGCCAAGTTCCAGGCGAGAAAGAAATCAGCCCTGCAGGCAGGGCCACGGCCCAGATGCTGCCGGCCGCCAGCAGCTCTGTGCAGAGCCCCTCCAGCTCACCCCTGCACCCCCAGCATTTAGCCCGCTCTTTATTCTTTCGTCCCGCAGAGGAGTCTTTGCTTTGCAGAGCAGGTCTGAGATGGGCGCCGTCACTGCCTGGCACCCGCACGGCAGGCCACGCTTCAGGGCTGCCTCTTAGCTGCTCCAGCTCAGGGTCCAGGGTGGGCGTTTGGCAAGGACGCTCCAGGGACAGGGCAGGGGGCTTCCCGGACCACGTTTAACCCCCAAAGCCGGGATCTGTCCCTGGCTCTTTGGTATCTCAGAAAACTGGGGCCACCCGGTCCCACCAGCGTGAGGCCACACCGGGCCCACCCTGGCAAGTGGCTGCAAGGGGGGGCAGCAGCAGGGTAGTGCGTGGCCGGGACCAGCTCCGCGGGCCAGCAGCTGGCCAGCAGGGAGGGCGCTGCCCCAACCGTGAGGCCCGGGCTCACTTCTTGTAGTGATTGGGGGCGTCCGCGAAGGCAAACTTGAGGCGATAGGCCTCGGCCAGCAGCAGGCTGATGTCCTCGTCACCCCAGCAGGCAGTGGGCAGGTTCTGCAGGAAGAGGAGCAGCTCCTGGGGAGAGAGACAGCGGTCAGCAGGGCCAACAGGGCGGCAGGCTGCGTGTGACCTGTGCAGGGCTGCGGGACGCCATGCGACCAGCACTTCACAGCTGCAACCCGCTCCCTAAAAGCTGAGCCATACCCCAGGGAGGCAGACACCACACCCTCCGTGAGCAGATGGGTCTCCCAGGCCCGGTGCAGGGCAGGCTTTGGGGCTGGAGCCTCCTGCCCCGAGCCTCTCAGATCAGGGAACATATGCAGAAGCAGCCCAGGACAAAATTCCCTGCTGGGGGAACTCCCTCCAGCCCAGTACAGCCAGCAGCTGAGGAGCAGACACACAGGGACCTCGGGACAGAGACAGCTCAAGTCCCCCCAGGGCACCCCAGAGCTTAGCAGGGCACCCAGGAGCTCGGCAGGGCCCTGGCCACAGCTGCCCCACATGCTGGGCACCAACAAACCCAGGTTCACGTCCAAGTACAGCCAAGTGCCTGGGGACAGTGATGTCACCCCCAAGCCCAGCCACCGCTCTATAAATAGGGATGGCATGACCGCTCTGTCACAGAAGCTGGACAAGAGGGCCGTACACACCAGGCCACACAGCTCACACAGCTCTGAGCAGGCACCCAGTGGGCACTCTCTGGGCACATGGACACACACTGGGTGCCAGGACACACTGGACGCGCACCAGATGCACAATGGACCCTCAGAGGGCACCGGACAGTACCCATCGCTGCCACTCACTCAGGTCTCCTGGCTTCCAGGGAAGAGTTCTGCCTTGGGGCTGTCATGCCCCCTGCCCCCCCCCCAGCACCCCAGGCCTGCAGCTGAGCCATCTCAGCAGCGGGGCACTGGGTCACACCTCCCTGGGCCCATAAGGAGTGTCTGCAGCACTCAGACTTAGAAGCCAGAGACGACACTGGTAGGACAACGGCTTGCTAATGTGGTGTGGCAGTGCCGGGGCACCATCCGCGGGGAGACACAGGAAGCCCCACCCCCACCACGGCAGCCAAGACCCTACCCGGGGCAGGTGGACCTCAGGGGATCGTGACACCCAGAGTGATGGCCACTGCATGGCCGCGACATCCTCCTGGACGGGGTCTCAGAAGGACAGGCCAGGGCCACGGTCAGGGCTGGCCCAAGGCCAGGCCCCTCTTGGGAAGCCAGACAAATGCCCCAGTGAGGAGCCTGCACTGCTCAGGGGTCCTGCTGGAGGCCCATGCAGAGCACCTGCCCTGAGCCACCTACGGGCCGCCCACACCTCTGCCCCCGCTGGTGCTAGCACTGCACCGCCTCGGCTCCCAGCAGGCGACAGTGTCAGAGGAGCTGCCGGGTGTGGCTGCCCGCCTTGAAAAGGTGCTGCCCAGTAAGACCCCCCACCCCAGCCCCCACAGCTCCCGACTTTCTGTCCCCTGCTCTGGCATACATAGGCACTGTCTGTGCCGGGGGGACCTCGCTCTGCAGGGCACATCCTGCTCTCTCTCTAGGGCCCTGTCCCTTGTCCCGTGCACGGGGGATGCCCTCCCTTGTCACGGGGGGAGTGGAGAGGCCACGTGGCAGCGGGACACGGGCCGGACCCTGGCTGAGCCGCTTCCCTCTCACACGGCCCCCGGGCTGAGGGAGGAGCTGGGCCGTCTCAGAGCCGCAGCCTCCAAGTACAGGTCCGAGCGCTGGACTCTGTAACAGTTGCTCTGCGGATGCTGGACTCCCCCACCCCTTCCGCAGTTCCATTTCCTTTGCATTTTGGACACTTTCTGTGGGCCTTTAAATTGAATTCACGGAGCAAATTCCGCTGGCAATACGTCCTCAGGGACACATCAACATCAATCTGCTGTCTTTCACCATTAGATGCAACTTACACGGATGCCAATCCAATTCTGAGCAGGTCATAAATAAATACCTTTGGTTTTATTTTTAATCCACTTCGCTTCATATTATCATGACCCGGCTCCTCGCAAGGTGAGAAGCAATACCCTCCCATTACGGCAACTCAGCGCCTCCACTGCACACTCAATTTCAGAATCTAATTTAGTCCCCCAGGTTCCCTGGATGGAGGGAGAATAGAAATGCCCAGTTCTCTGCGGCCTGCAGTGCTAAAGAAGGAAAAGTCTGTCTGGGTGACCTTTACGGCAGGCAAAGAACACAGACAAACATGCCCCTAAATACGGACTTCTTTTTTAAAAGGCTTGTCTCATTTACGCGCTGGGCACGGCGTCCCCTTTCGGGGAAACACAGCACATTTATTAGCCTTGAGCTCGCTGCATTATCTCCTCGCGCAGGTAGCTCGCTGCCGTCCCGGGGCTACGGCTGGTCAGGGACGCTGCGCCCTGTGAGATGGCATGCGCAGGCCCAAGATGCAACCTCTAGAGACCCCACCTAGGAAATGGGTGTCACCGGCGCTCCACTCACAACTTCTCCACAGCCAGCGCGCTGCCCTCCTTGGGGCGGCGTGCCCAGCATGCGAGGGAGTTCTGCTCGCACAATGACGCCACGCCACGTCCATGTGAGCTCCCCTCCTGGTTCTATGGAATGCAACACCTACAAAGCCCAGCGCGAGCGCGGTGGGATGTGCTCGTCCAGCAGGAAGGCTGGTTCTGGCCCACTGGGCATCCTGGCCGCACAGCGGCGCGCACTCCAAGGTGCTCTCCTTCCCACCAGCTGCCCTCCTCCAGGGCTACACAAGGACAGGTGGCCGCCCGGCCAAGCGGAGCCCAGACCCGCTCCTCCCCCGGGGGCTCCAGCGGCTGAAAGCCCCCAGGAGCGTGACTGTGCAGTCTCTCCGGGGCAGCGCCGCAGCAGGCGTCTTAACAGACATCCTCCGCTGCTCCGTCCGCCTCGGGGAGGCTCCAAGGGCCGAGCCTCGATTGCTAAGGAGCACGTGGTGGTCGCAGCGCTGGCCACTTCCTGCCAAAAGGCTTTTGTTTCCATCACACAGGTCACAAGGCCACCCGCACAGTGTGACCACCTCCCTGTGCCTCCCACAAGGGTGAGACGGTCCCTTCCCTGTCCTTCACCCTTGGGCCCCAGGTGCCCTCAGGACCTGAGTCTGCCATGTGGCCGTCACGCGGCTCTGAGCATGGGCAGCGCGAGAAAGGGGAAGACCCTGGCGGCCAGCACCAAGCACAGAGTCACACCCTGGGCCCACAGCACCCCAGGCTCGTCCTCTGCGTCCCCACCCGGTCCCAGGGTGTCTGCCTCTTCTGCTACACTGGCAGGGCCCTGTTCCCCCAGGCCCCCCAAGCTGGCAGTGAGCCTTGGCACGGGTCAGTGCACACAGCAGACCAGTGGGAGACTCTGTGGGATGGTGGGGAGTCAGGGCACGCTAGGGAACGACAGCTAGCTGTGGCCCCTGGGCAAGTCTGACCTTCACAGGACGGGCTAAGAGCCGGGCCCTCTGCCCCTCTCTGGGCGTGCTCAGATATAAAAGGCACCATGTGCAGGTCCCTGTTGGCACTACCGTTCACCTATCACGCATGGTGGCACCAATTCTCATAGCAGCAGTGGCCACCAAGCAGCATTTGTTGCTGATCCAGTTTGTGACTGAACGCATTTTCATCCATGGAAAATGTCAAGTCGTTTACTGAACAGGTTTAGTAAGAAATCAGACTCTCACTGAGCAGATCCCCCCAAGCAGGACAACACCCTGGCTGCTGTGACGCCTGGACGCGGCAGGGACAGGGCGAGTGTCCAAGGGGAAGGAACGGCACCGTGCACGCCTGGCCTCTCGGGGTGGCCACGAGACCCGCAGGAGGTCTTTGGCCTCTTTGGGCTGGAGCTGCAACTCTAGTCTCGGCTGCAAAACGAACTGAATTTAATTTAAAATCTTCCTCAGAAATGGACTGGGGCACGAACTACTGCTGAGTGTGCAAAACAAAGGCCCCACTGGGGTTGGGCAAGGGCGAGGGTGCGGAGTGCAGGCCCAGCCCCCAGAGGAGCAGCACCGCGCCCACAGATGCAAGGCTCCCCAGCAGGGGACCCCTCGACAGGGACGAGGAGCCCACAGCTGCTAAAGGGACTTGGGTTCCACCCCCAGCACCCCTCTGAGTCCTTGCCCTCACAAAGATGTGGGTACCAAAGAGGGCTGAAGAAGAGATGTTCTGGGGACAACCTGCCACCGTGACAAGACCATCCGGAGCCCCAGGAAGGACATGAGGATGGAAGGGGGGGCCTGAATGTGGGGAAGGGCGGGGCCTCCCAGACGGACACTGAGTGCCGGGGGGGGGGGGCTGGGCTGGGTCCCGACAGCCCCACCTGGTGAGGGCTGCACAGACACAGCACTGCAGGCAACTCAGGCTGTTGCAGAGCCTTCCGGAGCTTTCCAGAGCCTTCCAGAGCCTTCCAGAGCACAGGCGTCCACACAGCGAGCCACACCTGCCACCACCAGCCGGTACCACGCAGGTCCTGAGCACACAGCGCGACCTTGTCCCATACTGCGGGCCCAGCCTGCCTGTGGACAGCAGCACGCTGGGACTGTGCGTGTGTTACCCTTCCGTGTGGACACACAGATTCATATACATGAGGTTACACAAACAACTGGGAAGGCCCAGCACCCGAAGGGTGACGTACTCCTGGGTGAGCGCATATGGGGCTGTCTCTGGTGTGTCTACATTTCCCAGTCTTTTAAAAACGCACGTTCATTAGCTGTATGCTTTTTTAAAAATACAATTTTTAAAATACAATTTAAAAAAGTGCAGCACCTGCTGGGTCAGGCTGACCCCGCTGCTGGTGTGCAGCACTGGGACAGAACAAACCTGGGTCCTTCACACTGAGCTACAACCCCAGCCCTTTTGAAATTTTACTTTAAATTTTGAGATAGGGGCTCGGTAAGTCTGTAGTTGCCGGGGCTGGGCTGGAACTTGCAATCCTCCTGATTCAGCCTCCCAGGGTGTTAGGATGACACGTTAGGTTTACACTGGACCTTTCTTGTCCAGTGGAGGCAGCTTCTGCGAAAGTGTCTCTGCCTAGCTGAAGAGACTACTTAGGGGACAGACGGACAGCCTGGCCACAGGTCCTGTC